CCATAGTCCTTGGTCTGGCTGGCACAAGAATCTCTGGTCCAGAGAACACATTACAGTCTCTTGCTTTTTCTTTGCTAATGGTGACGTTTCTCCAATCCTGATGGATCTAATTAATGTAATGGCAAAAATAGCCATTCCCATTGTGCACTGTGAGATTAGCCAGCCTAACATACCATATTTGCATATTCCTGCCCATCAACATGACAAAATTAGTCCTTGGATAGGGAAGCCATTTCGAACAATAATCATCTCACTCCAGCAACAATAGCAAAGTTCAACAGAGCAGCAAACAACAAATGCTGGCAAGGATGTGGAGAGATTGGAATTCCCATTCATGGCTGGTGGGAATGTATAATAGTGCAATCATTATGGAAGGCAGTCTGGCATATTTTTCTCAAAAATTTGGAAATAGCTATTTGATCCAGCTATCCTATTACTGGGAATATACCCTAAAGAAACCAGAACAGTGAAGCCGACAGATTTATGCACACCTTTGTTTATTGCAGCATTATTCACAGTAGTGAAGAGATGAAAGCAGCCTAAGTGCCTATCAATAAATGAATCATTAGAAAACCTATGATACCTACACATAAACACCACTAGTGGAATATTATGCAGCACTGAAAAACAACTTTTTCTAACCCTACACAACATGGTTGAACCTGGAAGACATTATGCTGACTGAAATATTTTAGTCACAGAAAGACAAATACTACACAGGGCCACTGTGATAAGTTAGACCCACGGAAGGGAAGAGCAGGAAAAGAATGGATAGATAACACTAAACTGGAATGAGAGAAGGGAGGGACCATCTTAAGGGGATAGATGATTAGACACTGTATATGACAAGTGACCATCTGGAACAACACATGCATTAAAAAGTGAGGTGGGAAGTGGGAGGGAGGAAAATGTGCATCAGTGAATGAACAAAAATCCATCCTTTCTGTAAACTTTCACTACTTTAAAAAACAAAACCAGTTGCCATCAAATCAAGGTGACCACATTATTTCTCAATGCTACC